TCACACAGAAACATTAAATGCTAATTCTGACCTACGTGTTTCTGGCCAAGAACTGGGATAATGATTTCCATCCAACACAACCCGAACTCATTTTATATAAGGGTGATTCAGAGTAGAGATTTGAAATTGTAATCAAGTCTTTCTCAAAATCGCCTTACCCTGGCAGTCATTCACTAATGTCTCTGCTAATTGGTAGGCAAATGGCAAAAAACAAAATCTCCATGTTAAAACACACACACACACACACACACAGACAGACACAAAACAACGTTGCAGCAGCGTTCTCAAAATTGCTCCTCTCATCAGCTCTTGCAACGTGACAGTTTAAGAAAAGAACACAACTCATTTTATTTGGTTAGATGGGGCTAATCCCACATCACCATAATCCCTCCTGATGTTTTATTGATTCTAAAGGACATTTAATCAGGAAGCAGCTCAACACTAGAATCCTGCTAATTAAGCAGCCACATTCCAAATGGGTTCCCAATTGAACAGCAGATTAATGGACAATATGTACTAAAATAATGATTCGTGCATTCAGCTTCTAAAATGTGTGTCTAAATTGCATCTTTAATCTCTTAAGGATATAGGTTTGCATACAAAGCCCTTAACGGAATGGATTTAATTCAACAGAAGAAGCTTTAGCCAGTGACTGTTTAAGGATGAAACAGGTTTATCACTAACAAATGCAATTCTTCATTGGTCTCATGGTTTTGATGTCCTAGAACATTCAAAGGTCAAAGACGGGTGAATAAAAAAATCAGAGTATTTCTCTGAGATATACATAAGACAGTGTGAAACTGAGAATACTGATGTAACTATAAGTACCTTAAATTCATATGCTCCCTGCTTCCTCTTCTTATTCTCGTGTCTCTGATTCCCAGACTCTTGGTTCTGGACCCCAACTTCTAATCAAGTATACTCTGTACCATATAATGTGAACTTTGATACTTGCATCTTCTGCCTTCATACTGGTACCTTTAGGGGACTCTCCGTTTAAGCGTATTGATTTTCTATTTGACTCTGGGCCCACTTTTTGCTTTTGCTGTCTAACCACCTGCCCTCACTCTCACCTAATGACGCCCAAGATTTCAGAGAAGGGAAACTCCCACATCCAAAGCTGGTCCAGTGGAAATTCATAAGCCAGGCTCAACCTCCTATCATCACTTATTTGTCACTTGATATTCCCAACCTTTATCCTTCTTTGTGTTTCTGTATTGTTCTTATCACCGTGTGATATGGCACATATTCTAGCTTGTTTATTATTTCTCTTCCCCAGTAGAATACAAGCTTCATGAAGAAAGGGGCTTTATTTTATTCATATCTGTATTCCCAATGACTAAAATAGTTATTGGTATATAGTAGGCACTCAGCAAATATTTGTTAAATGAATGAATAAATAGATTAATCAAATATTTACTGTGTACCTACCATGTGCCAAGCACTAGCTCACAAAACATTGGAATATAATGTGTCATGACACTTGCCAGCATGGAGATCACTATATAGACATTAAATAAACAAATCACACAAATAAATACATAATTACAAATAGTGATAATTGATAGGGAGGAACATTACTGAATGCTAAGAGAGAATACAGCACAAGGAACGTGATTTTGATGAGATGGTTAGCGAGGGCCTTCTCAATGTGACCATGAGCTAAGGATTAGGCAGAATCATGCATCTGCATCCCTAAGAGTATTTTGAGGCTTTATTCTTCCCCTAGTTCAGTTCAATTCCATAGATATTTATCGAATACCTAGTCTGTGCCAGGCACTGGTCTGGACACTTGAGATATATCAATAAATAAAACAAAGATTTTGCCTGTCTATAGTTTATCAGAGATAGACAGATAACAACAATAAACATCATACACCAGCAAATTACTTAATATATTAAAAGTTTATAAATATATAGAAGGAGGAAAAAGGAAAGCAGGTTAAGGCGGAGAACGGGTGAGGGGACTACAACTTTAAATAGAGTGTTTGGTGTAAGCCTCATGGACAAGGTGGCATTTGAGCAAAAACTTAAAGATGGCGAAGGAGTTAGCATGAAGACATTTGGGGAAAGACCATTCTAGGTTGGGGAATCATTTAGAAGGAAGGTGCTAAAGTGGATGTGTGCCTGGTGTGCTTTAGGACGTCAGGGAACACAGTGTGGCTAGAACAGGAGTTGTAGATGGAGCCAGAAAAGTGATGGAGGCAAATCATGTAGGACCCTTTAGGACTTTGATTTTTTTTTCCTTTAAGTGAAATAAGATGCTTTTGCAGTGTTATGAGCAGAACAACAGCATTAAGTTTTTTAAGCTTTGATAGACCACTGTAACTGCTATACTGAGGATAAACTAGGGACAAGGAAGAAGCAGAATTCAGTTAGGAGGCTATTATAGTAATCCAGGAGAAAGACGATGGTAGCCTGATGACGTAGACGATGAGTGTAGTTAAGTAGCAATAAAGGTGGTGGGAAGGGACCAGATTCTGGACATATTCTCAAGGCAGAGTTGATTTACTAATGGATTACTGTTGGATTGGATATGCAGTGCAATGCAGGAAAAAGAAAAAAGACAAAGGATTACTGGTATGTTGTGTTTTGATTTTAAATAAATTAAAAATACTGTCTAATTTCCCCTGTGATTTCTTCTTTGACCATTGGTTATTTATAGGTGTACTGTTTAGTTTCATGATGTTTGGAGAATCCACGGTTTAATTTTTTTTTAATTTTTGACTTCTAATTTAATTATTTTATGGTCAAAAAACATATTTTGTATGATTCAATCCTTCAAAATTAACTGAGACTTGTTTTAGGCTCAGAATAGAGTTTATCCTTTAAATATTTCATGTACGCTTACAAGGAATCTGTGTTCTGCTGTTGTGTGGACTATGGTTGCCACTTACATTAAGTTAGTTGATAATATAGTCTGTTTTCTATATTCTTACTCATTTTCTGTCTACTGGTTTTATCAAATACTGACAGAAATATGTTGAATTCTCCAACTATAATTGTGAATTCATTTCTCCTTCTGGTTTTACGTTTTTACTCCATGTAACTTGGAGCTATCTTATTAAGGACATGAACATTTAGGTTTGTACGTCTTCTTGATGAATTGAATTTTTGGCAATGCCCCTTGATTTAGAATCTACTTTGTCTGACTTTAATGTAACACCCCAGCTTTCTTTTCATTAGAGTTAGTATGGTCTATCTTTTCCACTGTTTTATTTTTAGTGTGTCTATCTTTATATTTTGAAGGGGTTCATTTCAGACATTTGGTTGGATCTTGCTTTTAAATGAAATCTGAAAATTCTGTGAAATATGTCCCAGGTAATTTGATAGGGATTGCATTAAATCTGTAGATTGCCTTGGGCACTGTGACCATTTCAACAATATTGATTCTTCCAATCCAAGAGCATGGGATATCTTTCCATTTTTTAAAGTCTTCTTTAATTTCCTTCAACAATGGTTTATAGTTTTCTGTGTATAATTCTTTCACCTCCTTGGTTAGATTTATTTCTAGGTATTTTATTACATTGGGTGCTATATTAAAGGGGATTGTTTCTTTACTTTCTTTTTCTGTTGATTCATTGTTAGCGTAAAGAAATGCAACTGATTTTTGAACGTTAATCTTATAACCTCCTACCTTGCTGAATTCTTCGATCAGCTCTAGTAGTTTTTGTGTGGACCTTTTAGGGTTTTCTATATATAGTAACATGTCGTTGGCATATAGTGACACTTTTACCTCTTCTTTTCCAATTTGGATCCCTTTTATTTCTCTCTCTTGCCTGATTGCTGTGGCTAGGACTTACAAGACTATGTTGAATAGGAGTGGTGATAGTGGGCTTCCTTGTCTTGTCCCAGATTTGAGTGGGAAGCTTTTGAGTGTTTCACCGTTGAGTACTATGCTGGCTGTAGGTTTGTCATATATAGCTTTTATTATGTTGAGATATGTTCCCTCTGTACCCACTTTGGTGAGAGTTTTTATCATAAATGGGTGTTGAATTTTATCAAATACTTTTTTTGCATCTATTGAGACGATCATGTGATTTCTCTCCTTTCCCTTGCTGATGTGATGTATTACATTGATTGATTTGCATATGTTGAACCACCCTTGTGTCCCTAGGATGAACCCCACTTGGTCATGATGTCTAATCTTTTTTATGTGTTGTTGGATTCTATTTGCTAATATTTTGGTGAGGATTTGGCATCTATGAAAACTGCTGCCTTTTAACTGGTACATTTGAATCATTAATACCTACTGTAATTATTGATATGGTTGGGTTTAAATTTATCATCTTTATTTAAATTTACTTTCAATTTGTTCTATTTCTTGTTTTCTTTTCCCTCTTTTTCATCTATTCTTAGTATTTACATGTGATTATGCTCCCATGTAATTGTCTCTATTAATATTTCAATACTGACACATTCTTTGTTCAAACAAAATTATACTCCTTAACTAATAGTATAAGAACCTTTCTACAGTACACTTTCAGTCTTCACAGAAAGACTCAAAGGCAACTCTGTGGAAATCTCCAGAAAGAATCCTCTGGGGATCTCTGCTCTCTGCTACTTTGCACTGGGCATCCCAGCCTTCTTGGCTTTCCTGCACTTCATGCTCTATCCCTTTAGCTTGGGGAGAATGCCGGTTTCAGTTTGGATTCCCTCTTCTTACCTCACTTCCTTCTTCTGGGAATCACTCTTCTGTGCTGCCTCATGTCCAAAGTCTGAAAAGTATTGCTTCATCTATTTCGTCCTATTTGTTAGTTGTTTAAGGTGGAATGGCAAATCTGTTTCTTGATAGTCTATAATGGCTGGAAGTGGAAATCTAGTGCTTTTGTTTTTCTATGGTCAAGAAGATCCTTTGGTCTTAATATAAGCAGACATTTCTTAATTCTTTCTTTAGCTGATAAAAATGATGGCTTCACACATAAAATTTCTATCCTAAAGACAGATCTCTGTGTTTGATATTCTAATAAAAAACTGTGTGAATAAAAAAATCAACTTACTTTATTTCACCGTGGTGGCCCAAATCTTCATGGTTAAGCAATGTTTCCAGAAGACTCAAAGTCAGATGTAACCCATGTTTCCCACATATAGCCTTGACCTGCAGGTAAGGCAATATTTGAAATTTCAATATAACAAAATGAAGGTTTGAATTTCCCTCCCATAATTGGAACTTTTATGAATTTGACAAAGAGTTAACAACCAAGACTGCATTATACCCTTAGGATAGCATTCAGGACAAGAATGTCCACCTGAGTGCTCGTCAACAGCAAATGTTTATTTGGTTGACACAGAGGTATAGTTCATTACTCAGAAGCCACTGCACTTTGAAATGCTGATCTTTCGTTTTTGTCAACCATGAAATGAGTGGTCAAAGCCTAGAAATTATACACATTTATCACACAGGTAAATTGCAAAGTATTTTTGTGCATCTGCTTTGATTTACCAGAGAAGCTCGTTTCATTCATAAGGTTACTATTACAGTGTGCATTTTGTATATGAGGAATCCAAGACTTAGATTAGCATTAAACATTTAGCATAATGTTGAAACATACAGACTTAGTTATACAAACAAATGGTTTATTTTGAGCAGCAGAGAGGCTGCCCATGATCTATGTGACCTCAGGAAGTGACTGAACATTTTTATGCCCAGTTACTTCATCTACTAAATAAGACCAGTGTTTTCTACTTCCCAGGAGAAAATAAGCAGTTAGGATAATGTCTGGATATTAGTAGGCATTTAAGTAACATTTGTTGAAATAAAAGAAGGAAAGGAGTGGAGGAAGGAAGGAAGAAAGAGGCAAAGAAAGAAAAGAAACATCTAATTTAGTGTGTGGACTAATTGTAGCTACTGTTGTTAGTTTGAGAAGAAGTTCAGTACAGTGACTGCATTAAGCATGTTTTTTTTTATTCTGATGCTTTGACATCATGGGGCCTTGCAGACCCTGGAGAGACAGCCCCTCCCCGGGCTAGCCAATTCCTCGAGAGAGCGAAGGACTGGCTTGAAAGTGTGCCTTATATCTGCAAACTAACTACCTCCTTTATTGAGGCGCTCACACTTGGGCCACTATTTCCATGTCCTAATTACTCTAGGGCCAAGTACTAGGCAACTAGGGATGGCTCCTATGCTCCAGAGCCCACTGAAATTATTCAAACTAGCCAATCCTAAGCCTGCTTACCCTGCCTTACCCATTGCACAGTGAAGGCTCTCGCTCACATTTCCTCCTCATCCCTTCTGCAGCCTGACCAACCTTGGTCCTTCCCCGTGTGGACTGTGCAGTGTGCTTGGCCCCTCCTCTTGGGAACTGCAACAAACTCTCTTTTCAATGACGTTCACCTCCTAATCTATTGGTCTGATCATACTTGAATAATAATAGTACCCAGATTTTAATACCATAACAAAAAGCTAATCTTCATTTGTCTTTAAACCAATCTGGGTTTGAAAGTTGCACGTGTTAGTTACTAGGTGTAGAGGAGTATGTCAAGGAAGGAAAAGGATCGATTTCAAACATGAAAGAATGATTAATAGTTTGCCAGAAGAATAAGGAGTTAAGGAGAATTCCAGACAGAAGAAAAGCATATGTAAATAATGGGTGAAAAAGAGCATAGTGCTTTTAAGAACCTGCATGCAATTTGATATAATTCATTCTATTATAGTTTTATCCCCCTTTCTAGGCTGGGCAGTAAATATCTGTTCATTAGAACTTCTCCATTTATTTATTTATTTGATTGAAGTATAGTTGATTTAAAGTGTTTTGTTAATTTCTGGGGTACAGCATAGTGATTCATCTATTTTTTTTCATATTCTTTTTCATTATAGGCTATTACAAGGTATTGAATATAGTTCCCTGTTCTATACAGTAAGACCTTGCTGTTTACGTATTTTATATATATAGTAGTTAGTATCTGCAAATTCCAGACTCCCAGTTTATCCCTCCCTACCCCCTTCCCCCCCAGGAACCATAAGTTTATTTTCTATGTCTGGGCGTCTGTCTCCGTTTTGTAAATTAGTTTATTTGTGTCCTTTCATTTTAGATTCCACATAGAAGTGACATCATGTGGTATTTTTCTTTTCCTTTCTGCTTACTTCACTTAGGATGCCCACGCCCACCATTTCTAGAGCTTTTCTAAAAGACTGGTTTTCTTGGGGCTGGAATTGTGTTTCCTTTATTTTCCTATTACCATTGCCTAGCATAGTATTGAAAATAATTATTGAATAAGCAAATATATGGATGAATAAGGAATAAATGAATGAGTTGAAGACACTGAAGAGTGGAATGTGTATGCGCAGAGGTTAGCAAAAAATAAATCTGGAGAGGTAGAAATTAGTCACATGTCATTTTACTCCATAAATAAGAATCGGCTTATCTTCATGATTGGAGGATATTAATGCATTTTTAAACAATAATATTAACAGGTTATTCTAAAAACAGTTTACTTACTTCTGGCAACACTGAATTTTGCTCCAGGCTAAATGAATAGCAGACCATAAATAGTACATCAGGGTTCCTAGAGGCAGATTGATTGATAGCTACTGAGAACCGATGGCTGACAGTTGTAGAAGAGCCATAGAAAACATCTACCAAAAATTCCTGGCAATTTAGTGTTAGTGTTAGTTAACAGTTATTTAAAAAATCCTTTAAAGCATGAATATTCATTACATGACCCTTGTTCAATAAGAAAATGTTTGATGATGTGTAGTTTCTTCTGTTTAATCAGGTCCCTTTAAAATCAAATGTAAATAAAATATCTACCTTATTTAGAAAATGACATGTGAAATAAATACTCAGTTCCTCAAAAGGCTCCTTGAAAGAGTGAAGCACAGATGCTCTCTCAGCTCCCTGCCTTCCCATTCATGCCTCCATTTGCATTTTTACCCCATCGCTCTACTTAAACTGTGCTTACCAAGTCACTGGTGAACTTCCCAGTTTCAAATTCAATGAATACTTTTTGGTCCTGATTATAGATGAGCTCTTTGCAGCATGTGATCCTGCCGTCCTTCTCTAAAGCTCTTCTCTTGGCTTTCTTGACCACTTCCATGTTTCTTTTGATTATTTTTAGTCTCCTTTCTTGGCCTGTCTTTATCTACTTACTCCTTCACGATAAGCGCCTTCCGCAATCCTCTCTTCTCACTTTCCATTATGGCCTTGAGTAATCCTAATTACTCTATATTGAAGACTCATGAAATCATTATTTTGGCTTTAACCTCTCAACACACATCAACATGTTCAAAACTGAACTCATTATCCTTTCCTTTACTTCTCCAAACTACTCCTTTTCTGTTTCCTATTTCAGAGAATGGTACTAAGTTGCCAAAGCTAGAACCTTGCCAGTCAGTTTTGATTCTTCCTAATTCAGGGCCTACATCCAATTAAGTCTCCAAGACCTACTTTACTACCTCCTTAATATCTCCATCCTTCCTGTTACTGCCCTAGTTTAAACCCTCCTAATTTCTTGTTTGAATTACTGGAACAGCCTTTTAAAGGTTCCCTTGGCCTCTAATTCTATCAGAGTGCTCTGTTCAAATTTCAAGTTTGATCGTGTCCACTTGCTTGATACTCTTCGGTGATGCCACTGGGGCTTCAGGATAAAGTTCATACTCCTTAGAAAGACCCTTCATAACCTGATTCCTACTTTCCATTCTAATATCAGCGTGAGCAGCAGCCCCCGCCATCCCCACCACCAGGCACTTACTTTATTCTGCCAATTGAATGACTTACAGCTCCCTGAATTAGCCATGTTCTCTCTCATTTCAGTGACATTTCACATTGTGCCTTTTACCTAGAACACCTTTCCTGTCCCTTCTCTGCCCTTCCCCCAACTCTTTGCCAAATTCACATGCGCTCTGAGATGCAGTATTTGTATCATCTCCTCTGGAGAGCTTTTGGGCGAGGTTAGGCTGGTGTTCCTTCTCTGTGTTCAACGTTACCGCCATCACTGCATTTGTCATATGGAATTGTAACCTGTTTAAAATATTACCTTTTCCATGAGCTCCTGGAGAACTCTGGAATGAAAATCATAATAGTGTGTTGTCCTCAGTAACTTATCACACTACCCAGAATCCACTAAGTGATTAATATGTCGAATGCAAGAATAAACAGGCCACACTGATCAGAAAGATGACTTGGATTTGGAAGAAGGGAATGATTCGAAACTAGTAAAAATCGTTGTACAGTTTTAGGACAGAGTGTACTGATATAACAACAAGCAGACACAAAAAGGGAGCCTGGCAAGCTGCAGAAGGATGTCTTACATTTCTGGTCACTTTGTAAACTAGCGTCATAGTGACAGTCTTGCCACGGGAACAAACTTCCCCTTCACAAACACCAGTTCCCTCAGTAATGGGACTCCCTCTTAAAGGTAATGAGGACGTTGCATGAAAATGAAGCAAAGAGTAGTCAGATGTAGAACTATGGAGTTCAGTCTAGCTCCTCCTGGCAGGAAGGGAGTAGTCTGGGAGGGCGTTGTGATGCAGAGAGGAAAGAGGATGAGCGCGAGAGTTGAGACTGTGGATTAGGTATGAAAGTGCTAAACTGAGCCTATGTGCTTGGAAACTCCTTAGGTTCTATGGACTCTTTCATCTACGCCTGACTGGAATAATGGTCAAGGAAGTGAATAAATATATGTATATGGATCCAGGATGAGAATGAGTGAGTCCATAGAATGAGGATGACAGACACTAGATACGTTTTTATACTGTTCTCTGAGAGTGATGATAATGCCATTGATTTGCGTGACAAGACCCATAGACCCTTCAAAACTGCGTTTATTTATCCGAGAAGCTACAGATGCCCCGTGAACCCTCTGGAATGTTGGCCATGAGGATGCGCTTTCTTCCCTCTCTGGGTGCATGGCTCACAGATTTCAGGAGAAACTTGAGGAGGTCTGGGATTCTCTCCCTTGCACCTCAAAGGGGTTTAGAAGTGCTGGTCCAAAGGAGAAACCCTCCCAACTCAGATAGCCTTTCCCAGTCCACTCTAAAGCCCTGCGTCCAGGAACAAGGATGTTGCGGTGAAACTGCTCCTGCCTTCTGTGTCCGGTGTCCTTTGGGCCTCAATTTGTCTCGCGTTCTGGGGAGACAGAATTCTATTTGACATGCCTCCCAGAACTGTAATATACTTTGAGTGAGTTCCAGATGTCTTAAGAGATGCCAGATGGCTCACAAGAGGCAGACCAGCTTCGAGGAAAATGTGCCCCGTTTCCTTGGCTATGAACCACAAATTTAAGCTTTCAGGGCCAGCTGTGGGGGGAAGTCATTCAGGGCCTGCTCTGATAGCCAGTGCTCAGCTGGGCCATCACTTAACCCTGGGAAAGATTCTCCTCTCTTAGGCTATTCTGCAGTGATAATTTCATGAAACCCTGATTTCTTTTTTTATAAGGAAGGGAAACATATTTACTGAGTGCCTCATATAGCAGACAGTGCGCTAAGTGCCTTCACACACTTATCTTGCTTAATCCTCCCAATAGACACAGGAGGTAGATGTTTGGAACCCAGTTTTTCCAGAAGGAAAATCTGAGACTCAACAAGTTTAAGCAAATTTATTTTGATGTTCAGGTCATTTACGTTCCGTTCTATGAGTGTCATCTGAGAACATTCAAGCTTCACTGATGCTGTTAGGTATTTTCCAATCTAACAAAAGATTGTTTCCTCTTAGTCAATTTCCACTGATCTTCTCAGTAACATAATAAAGGACATTTATGATGTGTGCAGTTGCTTGTAGGGGTCTCTCTCTCTTCCAGCGAAACATGCCTTCATGTTTAATATTCACATGTGTAATACACACGCACACACACGTACACACGTACACATGCTTGGCCTTTGCATTGGTTAGTTCACTGTATAAATGAACGCCCAGGGAGAGCTACTTCTGCCCTAGAATAAGAATCCTCTTCCAGCATATCGTGTCCTTGCTTCCCTAGTAAAGATCCCTTGTTCTTCTGAACTCTGTGCCTCTCTCAGTTCTTAACCATGTTCACCTAGACAAAAGACATTTTCCAGTCTTTCCTACAGAACTTTTTTTTTTTTGTCTGTTAATTCCAATCCCTTCTACTCCTCTGGAATTCTAACTCCTATATCCTGAACTCAGTCGACTCTTCAGATATGTTCTGCCTGTTGGAGTTCCAACTCCGTCTCTCAGTTTCCAGTATTCTCCTGTATTTTGAATCCCAGCTCTGCATCTTGCTAGCTGTGGTCCTTGAGTGATTCAATTGTCTTCTCTGAGACTTTTTTTTTCATTTATTAGGTGGATACTATAACATCTACCTTGACTTTGTACTTATTTGTAAATGTTAAATGAGTTAATGTAAGTAGAGCATTTAATGCAGTGTTTGGCATTTAGGAAGTACTCAGTAAAGCTTGGTTGTGAATGGAATTGCAGTAATAGTGACCATTATTATTTTACCTGCATCCAAAGTAACCTCATGCCTGGGGTTGGTTTGGCTCAAGACACACGTGTGTCAATATGGTTAATATGGTTTTGGATTCTCTTTCATGAAGAGTATACTCTTAATTATTGCTCCAAAACAGCATGCTAATCTCTGTTGGCAATAAATCACATCAGCCCCTAGAATTTGATCCCTAAGGAACAGGGCACCACACACTGACCTCACTGGAAGCTGGTAGAGGGTGTGGGAAATGAACACTTGTCCATTGTTAAATATGATTTGCATGCTGTCATACCATCTATTGTTAATATAAGACATAGACCAGTGTAAGTAATTCTGGGGCCAATTCTGCACATTTCACAATTCCTTTTCTCTTTTGTTTTTCTTCTCTTGAGCAAAGAACACAAACAATTGTGTAACATAATCCACAGGCAGAACACAGATCATAACCCGGCTGACTAACTGGAGACCCAGTGCCCCAGGGTAGCCTTCTAGAGATGAAAGAATCTGAAATCTCATTTTGGTTACCTTGGGTGGGGGCAGGTAGCCGGAGAAGGAGCGATCTTCTTTTTGAAAACTCAGGTTGAGGTTCTCTGTGCTGAGTTTGTCATTGGTTGTCTTTAGCACCATCTTCAAGATCTCCAACAGGCTCTTGTTCACTCCTGAGTGACAGCTGGAGTCTTGAGGGGCAGGACTGCTTGGAGAGGCAGGAGAAAGGCTGTGAAAAGATGATCCACTCAAAGCTGCTGTGTGTTCATTTCATATCACATCTCTCACCCCTGATATACACCGTGGAACCAGAGAACCCACCCAGAAAGACCTTCTAAATCTGGGTCCCTCGTCATGGGACTGCATGGGGAAATGACATAGAGTCACTGAAATCTGTTCCACTCTAGTGAGCATCACTGTCTCTTCTTCCAGAGGTACCAACCAGTTTGACCAGAACATACACCAACATCTGTAATCCTCTAATTCTTTTTTCCAGGTGACAATTGGCCACAGCAGTTTACTCTGCCGGCTTGATTTTGCTTAACTCCACATAGTTATTGACAGCAAATCAAATTTCCAAATTCTATGGCCACAAGCAAAGCAAGGCAAAACTGATCCTGCCAGATCCCTGTAACCAGGGAACCTATATAGAAGGAAATCTTGAACCAGGTGAACTGCCTGCATTGTCCTTGACTCTGCTCTCTGTATCTGAAAAACCCAGAAAAGGTTTGGGAGTGATAATTCACTTACTGCCTGGCATGTGAATGTATGTAACTATTAAGACAGTGTATCTGACTATTGTCACTTTAAATAATTGGTGAAAAACAGCAGAGTGGTAAAGTGCTATAGTCATTTACTCCATGAAACTGGCTTGAGATGTTTACTCATCTGTCATTCAGATGTATGTGTCCTTCCAAATCCAAGCTGAACTATCTTCTACACAGTGAAGCTGCCCTAATTTCCACTCTCAACTTAAGTGCCGCTTCCCTAGAAGGACATTCTATGACATCTCCCAACTTGCACTCATGTAAAGCAGTTTCCTTTCAGTGGTGTGCCAGCCAATCTTGAAAGACCAACTCTCCAAGATAAACCCCTAATCTGTAACATTACTAATCTTCACGGTGTAAATGCTCCCAACATGGCTGATTTCAAGTTGCCGATCTGGTGTCACTGAAGGAGGAGCTGGGAACTGATGCTCACAACTGGCCCTCCTGGTGCTCCGGAACTCCACTGCTTGACGGATTCATAGTTCTTTTCCTTAATGAGTGCCCCTCTGGTTGCAATTGCTTCCTTATGTCCTTAGCCGTTGTCTCCTGTCTGATTTAGGAGACTGCTCTGTTTTTGCTCCTTATTATTTCCTGTGGGCCTTGTACAGAGTGGCGTTGCCAATCTGATGTATCTGTCCCAGATTTGAATCAGAAGTTTTCCTTCCTCCTTCCTTTTCTTGTTAACAGCGGTTCCCGTGGGTAGCAATGAATTCATAAGGCTTTGGCCCTCAGCTCAGTACACCGAGTCCTGAACGGCTAGGTGTTGTGTGGAACCCATTTACTGCAGCTGGTGGGGTTTCTTAGAAAAACCTGCTGCAGGAGTTTATTTCATCTGGTCCAACTTAGGAGACGAGGGTGGTTGCCATTTCTGCTGCCCTGGTGATGCTGGAGGATTTTTCAACATCACAGAGCTGCCCCATTAAAGGCTCTACTTGACAGGACATGCGAGGGCATTTCTCTGAGCAGTAAGTACATTAATTAACAAAGAACCTGGATTCATCACAGGCCATCAGTTCTGCACTTTCACAAACACACTGTCTGGTTTGTATAGAGCAGCAATTTCTCTGATGAATTAAAAATGATTTCTTTATGCACCTTTTTTATATGTAGATACATAGATGTCCCTGTAGGTGAAGTGATGTAGGCTCTTGGGATACTTGGAGGTGCCAATTACATTCCACAAATATTTACTGAGCATCTCATGTGCCAGGAACTATGCGAACTACACTGGGCACTGAGTTGGCCAGGAAAGACACTATTCCTAACCTCAAAGGTCAAATAAGTAATTACAAGCACAATGTCTGTAATGAAGCGCAAGGGCTATGGGGGCATACAGCAGAGAGATAACCTAGTCTAGGGCTCAGAAAGGCTTCCTACCTAGGATTCGAGACCCATACCTGCCAATAAGTGGCTGTGGGTTCTAGTGCACAGTCTGCTACCTCTCAGGGCCCAAATCTCACTATCTGTACCATATGAAGTGTGGTTGCTGATTATTAAGTGTTGCTAGGGCTTGGTGGCTCTCAGTAGAGCACTTACTCCGAGTGACATTTGACTGGCATTTCCACACGGCAGCATCACTTTCTTTGGACTATGAGCCCTTGAGGGAGAGACTGGCCTTGCCAATCTCTGTATTCACTGTGCCCAGCAAAGTGGGCCTGGCAAGGAGCTGGCACTCAATGAATGCATGTAGAATGAAGTATTGCAATTATGAAAGGGCACACTGTAGGAAGGAAGGAAGTCTCCCACTTGGCCCAGGGACATTTTTATAGGAAATCCTGCCTTTTTCCTAGAGGGAAGTGATAAACTTCAATGCCATGGTTCTCAAGCACTGTGTCACATTATTTGGAACTGGAAAGAGTGTCTTCTGGTAGGGTAGTTTGAAAATAGTAACGAACATTTATATAGCACTTACTGTCCATCAGGCAATATTTCAGTTCCCCTTACAAATCTGTGAAGCAGAGGGAAATCTCTGATTGTTCCCATTTTACAGTTGGAGAATGGAAGCACAGAGAGGGTAAGTGACCAGCCCGAGGGTACAGAGTCACTAACCAGCAGAAACAGGAATTGAGCCCAAGCTTCTGTCAATGGAGATTATGCTCCTAACCACTGTGCTTTGTCTTTTTCTTGGAGACACAGAGATTTTCACGCTTCACTGTGCCTCACCTCTACTGCTGTTCCTCGCATCTTCTTTTTATGTTGAGTCACTTTCTTTCCTTTGAAATTATGTGGAGGAATTATTGATTTCTGCACCTCAAGCCTTTCTCTGCTAGTGCCTGTAACCTAGAAGTTCACTGACCAAACATATTTCTGGAATCCTACTTTATAGACTGGAGCCCTGCCCTGGCACACAATCGTTTCTTATTTCATAATGAGGTTTTTCATTTTCATGTGGCAACCTCATAAAAAAGACACATGCGTGATGTTAAGAAGCATGTGATTGTTGCAACGGACGTTCTATGCTGAATACAAAAGAGACAGAAAAAACTATCAGCAGAAGCCACGTGTTGCTGAAAAACAAAGTGACTCTGCATTGGGTGAAATTTCGAGTGTGGGACCTCCAGGATTCCTCCCAGCTCTGGAGGTTTAGGAACACTATGCCTACAGAAAGGGAGAGAAGTACCTTCGATGGCTGCCACCCTGAGTGCCTTTCATGCTGCTGTCCTCAACAGTTTTGCTTTGCTGTGGATCACCTAAAGCTGTGACTGTTAAAAACTGGAGTAGCTTTTCATAATTCACCTGAAAATGAAATATAAAACAGAACATCCTCATTTAATTTACATGTAAGGGAAAAACGCCTGCTGAGATAAAATGTACTTGGAAAAGTCTTAGGGATTGGCTGATACAGACTACTATGCACAGAATAGAGAAACAACAAGGTCCTCCTGTATAGCCCAGAGAACTATATTTGATGGCTTGTAGTAACCTGTAATGAAAAAGAATTGGAAATAGAATATATAAATATATAGAATATGTATATACACACACACACACAAATATATAGACCTGAATCACTATGCTGTATATCAGAAACTAATATTGTAAATACAAAAAAAATTAAATTTCCATTTCAAAGAAAAGTTTTAAAACAGATTTTAAAATATAGTAAAATAAATATTAGTGCTTTAAACCAACTAGTCCTTTTATTTTCCCCTCTGGACATGTGGTAAAATTATACTTCCTGGCTGTCTTGTGGTTGGGTAACAAGCTGTGAACAGAAGTGCTGTGCTACTTCTGGGCTGAGGATTAAACTGACAACATGACACCCTCCGGACCTGTCTTTTTACCTTCTGCCATCATGTCCAAAAATATTCCAGAGTGGACGCGTCATCAGCCTGAGTTTGGAGCTGAGATGAGGACAGAACGGAGAAGAGCCTGTGTCGGACTCATTATGAAAAATGGGGTTTTGCTGTTTCAGGGCACTGAGACTTTGGGGCTATTTGTTTCAACAGCGTTACCTACCTCTAGCTTCTCTCTCACACATATGTCTTATATATTCATTATATATACTATCTGCTTATATTTAGATATATTCAACAGATATAGTCAGGTTATTTGAGGGCACAGCCTTATTTACCTAAGCAAAAAACTCAAGAACTTCTTTATTTTTAACATAGGACTTATGGATGAAAAAGGTTGCCTGCCATGTCAGTACACAAAGGATGCTGCAGCCATCAAGCCATCAGCCATGACTGAGGCCCCTGATGGTGAGCCTAAGGGAACTCAGGATGGAGACAGAGCAGGACGCTGGCCCTAGATAGCTAGGTGCATATCAAAGGAATGATGTTAATGAAACCAGACCTTTGTACCTTCCCATACACAGAAAAACGCTAAATTCATTAACTTGAGATGTCTGGTTTTCTTTAATTAACAGTAACCTTTTGATGGTCTGGCTACCTGATTTTGTTCCTGTATATCCTGGTTCCTCTGTTACCTCTTTGGAGCAGTCCCTCAGAGCTATCTGAGAGGCTTTCTCCTGGGCTTGAAGTCCTCAGAAAGTCTGATGAAGAAAACAGAATTCTCAGCTTTTAGGGTGTGCATTGTTTTCAGCCAACAGACTAAAGGAGTGTCTTCCATTTCCATTGCTGGGCTGGATGACATCCCAGGGACTCTGGTGGGCAGACCACTCCGGGGCAGTGGAGGGGGTAGCAGTGAGGGAGGGGAGGTAGATAAGGTCCTGACAGAAACTAGGTCTCAGGCTAGAGAATTGGCTTGAACTGAAGAGTTGGAGAGGTTATACTAATAGGTTAACATTGTATTGCTAAATATTTTTCATTAATAAACAATTAATTCTGTTTTTGCCAGTTAGGGATGAGCAGGAGATAGAACTAACATTTATTTAAGTACCCCCTAAATGCTAAGCACGAGACCAGGTAATTTACATTTATTGTATCACTAAATCCTCAGATTACCCCTATGAGGTTGGCTTTGGCCTGATTTTCCATCAACACAGGAAATGACTTGCCCAGTGCTACCACTTCTTCCTATTTTCCACTAGCTCCCAGAATTTGGTTACACTTGGTCTATGCTTTGTATTTACCCATAGTGTGAGCTTGGGAAGGGCACTGCTCAGAGAAAGGACCCTAGCCTCGTGTTTGGGGAATCATTGTCTCTATCCTGGATCTGCCATTAATTCTCTGGGTGCCCTGAACAAGTTCCTTAACCCCTCTGGGTTTCAGTTTCCTAATCAGTGAAATGATGGTGGTGAATTATACTTCAAAAATACCTCCCTCCTCTATCCTTCCAGGAACTGTCATGATACGTCTTAGTCAAGCTCTCCTTTCTAACCTCGGAGCCGACAGACTGATCAGCTTGTAAACGGACTCAGGTGGGCCCATTATTTTGAAACTGGAACCATCCCAATGGCGTTATGAGCAAACAGTGAAAGCTGGGACAAGAAAGCCCTTTAAAGAGGAATTAAAGGGGGCTGAGAGCCCTAAATCTATTTTCTATTGTGGTCTTCTCTGTAGAGATTTCCACGCATGGATATAAGTAAGCTTGGTATCTTAGGGGTCAATAGTAAAGGTTATTTTCCTAAAAGACACTTACCTTTTAATTCTATTACTCTAGTGGGTACAAGTCAAGTAGACTAAGGGAACACACACATAAAATAGCAAGACAGTCATACCATTTCAGGAGAGTCCCTCCTAGAAAATCTCTGGCAAAGGATCTTGACTGTTGGTAACTGCAGAGGGACTTCAAGCTTCAAGAAGAGGCGGCTCAACTGAGATTGGAGAAGAAATCCTGAAGAGATAGGATCCAGGATCTTCAGCTCTTTCTGTAGCTTGTCTAATAAGCCAGAACTCAGAGGGCGTGACTTGAGTTCTCTTCTGACCAGGGCAAGAAGAAAAGTGTCTTCTCTTGTTGTTCCACTTGGCCTCTGGCCAATATCCTAAAACAACAATAGCAAATCAACATGGCTCTAAAACAAAATGACTAAAGGCCAATGTAAGGAAGCAGACGCCTAGCTGGGCTGATGTCAGAGCATCCACTTTCAGGCCTCACCCAGAGGAGGAAAGAATACTTACACGTGAAGGTAAGTATTCAGTCTGAGTATATTCATTAGTTGATGATGCCTCAGGACCTTTTCCTTCACGAAATAAAAGAAGCAAATCATTTCAGAGTACATGTTCTGTTAGAAGATTCCTTAAAAGATCTGTCTTTTACAGAGTAATTTTTTGATTATATGAGAATTTAGAATAACAAATCTTAGAGACCCCTTGGATCTGGGAGGAGGAAGGGGAAAGGAAGATGAAATGTTCAGTGGAGTCATTTGCCTGTGAACTCCCCAGGCAAGCTTCCCGGAAAGCTGATTGGGCATACGGAGTCTGGTGTCCACCAGTCCATGCTCAGAGACCATCTTATTGTGTGTTCTGCATCAAAATATACAGTCCACAAATACTACCCCTTCATCTACAATAGAAAAGATCTCAGTATACACACCTCAGGTTGGCCAGAGCTGCTCTTTGCCATCTGTTCTAAAGACCAGTCTCTAAGGTTTCTCCTGGGCAGGCCATGGATATAGGACAGGGACTGGTCTCCAGTTGGTACAGAGCTGCAGTAGATATTTGCCTGGTTGGGAATTTTAAAGAAACAAAGACAAATGGTAGTAAGGATCAGAAGGAATGAGGAAAGAGGAAGAAGAAAGAGGAGAGGATATGAGTGAGCCAACCAATTCTTAAAACACATTCTCAGTTCCAGCTGACTTCAGCCCATGTGGTCATTGAGTCATTGAATCCCCAGAGAAGAAAGCTTGCCTCAACATTAATTTCAGCATTATGAAATTAATACAAATTTGACAAGTAAATTGACAATTAGATAATTTTTCATTTGTAAAAGAAAGAAAGTGTGACAAAGAAAAAATAAGTAGAACATAAGATGTTTATAGGCAAATGTAGGATTCATGTTAGAAATAAGAGTGGACTGTTTTAACTAGCAGATTCAGGAAGGGCAGCAAAGGAAATTGTGCGTTTTGTCAAGAATGGACTAGAAGAGATTAAAAAGCCCAGAATATTACATGTTAAGGGTAATGTTATTAAAGGTTGCAACAGAATAAATGATGGAACAAGGGTCAATGATAAAATCCCACTCCCTCATGCCATGGTGTATAATGTATTAATAGTGTTCTTTATTTTTTTTGTATTTTATGATAGTTTGATATCTTGAGGGCCTTGTTGGCTGGAGGAGACTGTGCTCCAAGGGCTAACTAATTTCTAGAGCTAGTAAGCAGCTTGCCTGCTAATACACCTTTCATATGCGAACCAACCAATCCTGAGTCCCTGTCTCCAACCATCTCCTTTATCTAAATCTCACACACCAAGCCAGTATTCCCCCCAAATCCACCAAGCTCCAGATATCAGACTGGGGACAGCCCCTCTGCCTAAAGCCCACTGGAACTGTTCTAACTGGCCAGTTGTAATCTGCTCACCGGCCCTGCATTGCCTTTCCCATGCAAACCCCAGCAAAGATTGTTGGCTGTGCTTTCCCCTCCCCGGCCTCCTGCCTGAACTTGGTGCTACCCCATGGGGCCCCGCATGGGGTGGCATGGCCCCCTTTTCCTGGGAAATAAAAGCAATAAGTTCTTTCAAAGATAGTTGCCTCTATGTTGGTCACCTTGCCATACCTGATTAAAATAAAACCCTGGGTACAATTGAATCACATGGCTGTTTTTAATATCAGGTAGTTGAAAGGAGACATTATCAGAAGGATTCACTGAAAACTGAGTATCTGTACTCAGTTGATAGTTATACTGAATAACCTATCAGTATGGATAGCAACCGACAGATGCTTTATAGTCATGACACATTTTAAAGCAATATCGAGAGGGTCTCCAGAGTGGTCAGAGGGAGAAGGAGTGGCAGAGAGTTCTCGAATAGGCATAAAAATAACACAACATTTACTGAGCACATACTTTGTACAAGGCACCACATGAGTGCTTTGTTTTCGTCACTTAATTTAATCCTTACAACAAGCCCGTAAGGTAGGTAGCATTAGCATTTGTATTTGGAAGGCTGAGGCTTACAGAAGTTAAGTCACTATTCCTTCATTTAAGAAGTGTTTATGGCTTGCCTAGGCTGGGCCAGGCACTGCGACAGACCCCCCAGTAAACAAAACAGATGAGGCCCCTGCTCTCACAGAGACTGCAGATGGGCAGAGGCAGAGCAAGCTCCTGTGACCACACGCTATGGGGTGGTAAGGGCCACGATCAGAAGGGTCCCTGGGTCCCCCCAACCTGGCCTTGGTGGTCTAGGTCTAGGCTTGAAGGATGAGCTAGGTTTGGATTTGGATAGGCTTAGGAGTGGAGAAGAGAAGGGAAGAAGGAAAAGTACAGGAAAAGGAAACCAGATGTAGAAAACCTCAAAGGTACACACAAGTGCATGAGAGAGCAATGGATGCTCTCAGAGCATCATTTAAGTTTTAGGAAAGACAAAAGGCAAGGCTGGAGAGGAAGGCAGGATAAAGGAAGTGAATAGCAGTAAGTCCTGTTAGTATCTGTGCTTTATTCTGAGGGCAATGGGGAGTCATGGAAATGTTGTTAGTAGATCTAGGACTAGGTTAGACTTGCCCAAAATTTAGATGCTAGTAAATTATGCAGATAATATTTGGACCCTGCTTTTCACCTTTATGCTAGGATGAGAGAGATTCCATGTTCAGTCCACAGAGTAGTTTCATTCCAAGGTATTTAGTTAAGTATTTCAGACATAGTGTTCTCAGAACAATGTTTCTTTATAAATTACTTGTAATATAAAATATTTATACTTTCAGGAACATATAAATATTTTCTGCCTCTGAGAATTGATACACTTCTATATTACAGTGGTCTAAAGAAGCATTTATCAATGCTTATCATTCCTGTAGATTCAAGGTGTTCTTTAGTCTCCTTTATTCCCAATTACCCACCAAAATTTATTGAGTGCCTTTATCTTTGGCGCTAGAGATACAGGTGAACAAGGCAGGTATGATTGCTGACCCCACCTCATAGATCTTTTGGCCTAGACATCACAGAATAATTTTATGGCCTCATCTATGGACAAGGGAAAGTATAATATACTCCCAGGAATGCTGTGAAGAACGAGTGTTATAATGTATTCTAAGTATTTTGTAAATTCTACAAGTATATTATGTATTTATTTGTTATTTTTATGTGTCTCCTTCCAAGAGTTTGAACTCTATGTGGGCCAGGACCTGTCTTTATGTCCTGTGACTCCCAGTGTCAAGAATAGCAATGAGTTTGAAGAAGAAACAGAGAAAGACAGTGTCGGAATGGTGATGATGTCTTATTTAGGCTAAGGGCACGCCAGGCCTCAGACTCCTCCCTTTGCTGATATAAATCATCCTTGCCTGTTGTTTTTCAAAAGCAGAGAGTGTCCCCAAAGTGTGAGAGAAGATAAAATGGGAAATTTTGACCAAGAATCACTATGTTTCTGTCTGCAGGTGTTGCCAGAGTCTCTGCAAAAATCTTTGATACTATGTTTCTCCCATTTGCTTTACTCTGAATCACTAAATACTGCTTGGGAATGGATGACACAATAGCCTGAAATGACCATGGCAATGCCATTTTTGTGATATTGACCTAAAAGAATCAGGACAAATGAAACACAGAAATTTAACACAGATTCAGTAACTCTTCTTACTATGTTAGAACTTGCAATGTTGGAAGTATAAATAAGTCTTTTAAAAAGATGGCTTATAAGTAAAACTGTTTTCAAGTGGCTATATTGTAGAGGACATGAATACTCTGCACCAAGACAAGTGAGCACAGCAAATTGTCCTAGTATGATGGAATGGAGAGCTGTGACTTGGGAGAAAATGTACAGAGACAATATCAAATGCAGAATTTCCTGCATTTTTAAGGCTGAATAATGTTCCATTGACTGCATACGTCACATTTTGCTTATCCTTTCATCTGTTCATGAACATTTGGATTTATTCTCCATTTCAGCTATTGTGAATAATGATGCTATGAACATGGGTGTATAAATATTTCCTTGAGACCGTCCTTTCAACTCTTTTGAGTGTTATTAGATGTGGAATAGCTGGATCTGATGGTAATTCTACTTCTAATTTTTGAGAAACTGCCATACAGTGGTTGTACCACTTTACAGTCCCACCCACAGTGCACAAGGGTTCTAATTTCTCTACATCCTTGCTAATATTTGCTGTTTTCTTTCTTATTCTTTTTAAATAGAAGTTATCCTAATGGGTGTAAAGTGGTACCTCATTATAGTTTTGATTTGCATTTTCCTAATATTTAGTGAGGCTCAATATCTTTTCATGTGCTTATTGGCCATCTGTATATCTTCTTTGAAAGAATGTCTATCCTTTGCCCATTTTTGAATCAGGTTGTTTTTACTGTTGTTGTTGTTGAACTTTAGGAGTTCTCTATATATTATGGGCATTAATTCTTTTTATATTGTGGATATTAACCAGATACATGATTTTCACATATCTTCTCCCATTCTATGGGTTGCACTT